GTTGACATATTAAATAAGTTTCCTGAGCTAAGAGGGGCGAAAAGAAAATTGGTATCTTAAAAAAATCAATTGTGAGGAATGTACTTTAGGGACTAGCAACCGAGCTTTAGGATATAATTCTGTGTCTTAATTGACCTTCTGAAGCTATTTGGAGTCAGGGAGTTTGTGCCCAATGGCCATGGGAAAATAAAAGGTAATTTTGGGAAGGTATTAACAAATCAATAAGTAAAATTGAATATTTCTTGTTGAGAGAATTTATTTTATAATTATATTTGGATGTGTACATTGAAATTTATCTAAAGTCATCAAAGTTTTAAATATTTTCAAGCAATGTATAGCTATGACATTAAAGAAGTCCAAGCTTTATGGTAGTTTTCCTTTGTTGCTAGGCAGAAGATGAATATTATTAATCCTGTGTTGGTACTACTAGGTAAACTATTTGTTCCCTGAATGAATAATTGCATTAATTAATTAATGAGTAAAGAAATTAGCTTATGTTATACAATAGTCCCATTACTGGATTAATAAATATAAAAAATAATGAATACAAGAGAAAAAACTTGCACTGTGTAAACTTTTGTGAGCTGTGAGAACACAGAAGGTTATGAATTAGAAAAATTAGAGCTTTTCTTCCCTAAAAAAAAAAAAAAAAAAAAAAAAAAACCTGTGTGGGTTATGGAGACTAGGGAAAGATTTAAAGCCTAGTTTTCAAAAATTTTACATAGAACCAAGGCAATTTGAATCAGTTATGATGGTAGGAAAAAGAGATTTGGATTTGAAACTCTACTAAAAACCTCCAAACCTTACATCTTCCCAAATCATAGTGGAATGTGTATATGTATGAATGTGTGTGTGAGTTGCTACATCATTTCTCTTTTATTTAGAGTAGCAAACAGAACTTTTGAGAATTCTGTGGCCTCTGAAAAGTCCACAGGTAGCAAATAGCTGAACTATGATACCAGAACATCCAGGAACCAGAAGCTCCCTTACATGGAAACAAAATTCTTCAATCATAACACAGGAGAGTCATATGAACCTTAAAAGTCATCTAATAGTATGATCTCACCTCCTCTATTGTTCTCTTAATAATTATTTATTTGTTATTTAAAATGATATTGACCACTCATTCATTCCATAAGCCTTTGAAAAAAAGTTACTGAAATAAAAGCACTGAAGGAACCCTCTGTAAATAAGAAGACCAAGACCTCTTCCATCTTTCCTTTCTCTCTCGCTATCCAGGTGAGAGCAAATTGTTCCCTATAGGCTGAAATTTTGATTTCATTAAAAAAAAATAATAACTATTGAGTGCCCTTGACTGTCCAATGGCCCTGCTATCTATTTCCTGACAAAGAAGAATTGCTTAAGATAAGCTATATCAAAGCAAAGTGACCATTTTTCATTCAGTAGCTGTCCTTCAACACTTACTTAATTAGCTTACTAATAATAGCCCTATTCAGCAAATCATCTCATTAAGATACCTAGGGGAACATTTTGCAACTAGATTATCTTAAATCGTTCCCTAGCCATTTAAATTCTGTAAATTAGGCACACTACAAATGGCATAATTGAGATTTTGATGCCTAAGGAAGTATTTGGTAACACCCACTTTAATTTTTTCCTATTCCCTAGGAATAGCAATTAGGGGATTAAAAATCCTCCTTGTCTAATGTTGAATGGGAAGTAAAATTGATTTAAATTGGGGAAAATATTAGAACTCCCTTTGGTTCCTTATACCATCGGTTAACTATCCAAAACGATGGAGGGGATTTTAATTTATCATGTTATGAGCTTCAACAGTTAAGAGATAAATGGTAATTCTGAAGGGACTCTCTGCATGTCTTCTGCTTGTCAGGAAGTTTCACCTCAAACTATCGGCTCTCCAAAACAGTATTTTAGGAACGTTGCCTCAAGGAGAGGAAGTCTATCTGTTGCTCTGCAGAATAAATCATATCCTGGAGTAATCCAGATCTCAGCTGTTGCCTTACTTTTTTGGCTTTTGTCCCCACATCTCCATTCAGATCCAAAGCAAAACTCAAGTCTGGATTTCCACAAAAATATTGACTCTCACCAGGAAACTCATAGATACATAGAGCTTATTGAATTATTAGGTGAGGGGAAATCCACAGGGGTAGCTCTCCCCTTCTTTTCTGTAGCCCTTGTCCTTCTCTAACCCTTCAGTCTTCCTGCTCCTCACCCCATTTTTTTTATCTATGTGTGTACACAATACATAACACATTAAATAGTTATATGCTACATATATAGTGTCTTTGTGTCTGTGTGTGTATATATATACACACACACACACAAATGTGTATGTTATATCATAAATTATATAGCATTAATTTTATATGGAAATTTTTTTTTAATCCTCAACCGAGGACACTTTGTCATTGCTTTTAGAGAGAGAGGAAGGGAGAGAAAGAGAGATTTGATGTGAGAGAGAGGAACATCGATTGGTTGCCTTCTTGTATGCGTACCCACAACCTGGGTATGTGCCCTGGCAGTGAATCAAACCCACGACCTTTCAGTCTGCAGGATGACACTTCAGCCAACTGAGCCACACCAGCCAGGGCTGTATAGACACTTTTTAAGCTTTACTTATTTATTTATTTGTTAGGACAATAGCTGTGAAGTTGTGCTGTGTTTTGTTTTGTTTTTACGTTTACTTAATAAGGCTACAGTGGCTGAGCATCCTTCTGTGGTTTTTCTATTATTGTGCTTATTTTCGGATGTAAACTTCTGTGAAAGAATCATACCTCCTTTTCATTAACTGGTTTAGGAAAAATGCAAAGAAGAAGAGCCCAGGAGTTTATTATTTGCAATAAGGGCGACACCCCTTCCCCTGTGGAGACAGTCCTGGCTCTTGCACTCTGTTGGCCTGCATGTTACATGCTTCCAAAGCACCCTCTGGTTTTGCAAAGACCTCATTTCTTTCTTCTGTACTGGTTGTAAACTCCTAGATGAGAATATCGTTCTTCATTCATAACTGTGGCCATAGTTCCAGAACAGCCTTACTACCCACTAAGGGCTGAAAGAATAACTGATGAAGGAACTGACGAAGAAAGGAGATGTTGGAGAAATGGCGGCTGTTTGGTATGGCTGTCCTAAGCATGTCCAAAGGACAGCTAGGTTTATCTCCTTCCCTCCCTCCCTCACTCCGTCCCTCCCTCCCTCCCTCTTTCCCTCCCTCCCTCCCTGCCTTCCTTCCTTCCTTCCTTACCTCCTTCCTTCCCTCCTTCCTTCCCTTGTTCCTTTTTTTCGTTCTTTCTTCTTTTTAACATCTCTGCATTTAGCGACTTAAACAAGTTAGGAGCTCTCTGGCCCAAACTGTTTCAGTTTTCCATTAGCTTGTTAAGTATACTTTGTAACACACGAAACACTGGACAATGTCCAATCTAACAATCTCATGTTAATCACTTTCAAAATGAAAGGGAAATGCCTCCTGTCTATATGAGAACTTAAGTTCTTGTCCAAAACCCATAGCTTCATTAGGAGTGTTAATATCTTCATGGTTAGGCAAAATAACAAAAACAGCCCAACAGGTTTCCTTGATAACAAAAGTTTTATATAACCAAAAATAATTAAGGAGGAAAAGAAAACAGTATGGTATCAAAACTGTAATGTCTTCTTGTCTCCTTTTGAAGGACATTTTGTATTTGTAGTTCCATCATATTAATGTCATGAATTTAACTTCCAGAATTTGATTTTAGAGAACATATTTTCAATTTTAATCATAAATGCAAAGAAATGTTATTCTTTATAGTCAAAAACATTGTAAAACATTGGCTCAACAAAAAGTAATACTTAGCTGAGATCTGAGGTTAAAAAGGTTGAAGCATCTACCTGGCATAATCTATCTATCTATATCTATCTATCTATCTATTATCTATCTGTCATCTATCTATAATCTCTATGACAAGATTACAATTTATTTACAATTACACCTTTAGGAAATTGAGACTTGTCATTGAATTGTAAAATTATTAGATGCATAACTCCCCATAGAATATTGTTTTACTTCCATATAGTTATTATGGAAATGCTTTCTCCTTAAAAATAGCTATAATTTATTAAGTAATTAGTACACCCAAGGTCCTGAAATACACATTTTAATTGCTTTTCCTTATTGCTCCCTCATGGAAGCTCCTAGAAGCATCTGTGATCATCATTTCTGTAATAAAGCTGAGGAGAACAAGGGAGAGATATTAAGGAACTTACCTGTGTTTAAATGGGTTACATGGCACAGATCAATGTTCACATTACTTAGAATAGCTTAATTCATAAAATTTTATCACTTTGTCTTTCTGTGTTAATTGTCGTCACAGTATTCTTTAAAATAAAATGGAATTCAAATGTTATATGGCTTAAAACATTTATTTTAGGAGAGCTGCATAGGATTTAAGTGTAGAATTCAAGAAGAGGGTAACTTTTTTTTATTTTTTCATGTTCGTAATCTCTTTAACAGGTAATAATTTTCCTGCATATTGTTTCATTATGAGTCTAAAATGCTATAGTAATAAAAATGCTAGTGGTAGTTTAAATCTTTAAAAAATATTCCAACTGTATTTGCAAGACCTTTAATCTTTGCCCCTGATCCCCCCACAAAAAATACCTTAAACAGTAGTCTCTGATAATTACTTTAATGGATGTAGTAGGCTTTTTCTATATACATGTTTAATTTCTACTGTTCACATGGTTATTAATAATCAATGAAGTGATCAAATAACAATCTAATATATGTGATATTTTTTAAAATCTTAATGAAAGTGAATTACCATTTGCTGAATCATCAAAGCTAATTATAAAATCATCACTTTTTGGCTAATAAAAAACATTATATCTTTATAAAATTACTTCATTAATATAGCAATTTCATTCATCCTTGTGGATGAGAAAAATGCCTTTCTTAATATTAATAAAACCACCTGTTCTATCTCAAGGTAATTTTTAGTCTCAACTTTAGTGTATATTTACAAAATAGATTTTTATTGCCTTTACAGAAAGATAAAGAAGACCAGTGGCTAGAGAAAAAAGTGCAGGGAAATAAAGATCACATTATTTTGGAGCATCTACAGTGGACAATGGGGTATGAGGTTCAGATTACAGCTGCCAACAGATTGGGATATTCAGAACCGACAGTGTACGAGTTCAGCATGCCACCAAAGCCCAACATAATTAAAGGTAAGCAATGCTATGTGCTTTCTTAGGCTGGAAATAAACATGATGTCATCTTTACAATCCCTCTGGAATGTTTCTTGTTATTGAAAATACAATTTTATAGAGAAGTGTAAATTCTAGTTCTAATCATGATTATTGTGACATGTCTTACTCAAGATTTCTCAATCGCTCTTGCCATGGTGCACTGCTTAATTTATAAATCTGTTTTGATAACTTTAGTGGTTAAAGTGGTGGAGAGAGGATGAGCAGAGGGTGAGGATGGAAGGTAAGAGTGACTGTTGAATACCAACATGAAAAATTTCTGTTGAGATCAGAAACTTTGCAAAGAAGACAACTTCCCTGTCAAACATGCGGGGACTGGTCCTCCATTTCTGGAAGATGTGGCCAATAACACTGACAAGCTTATCCATGCCTGACCAAGCAAGTTGATTTGGGAAACATAAAATCTATTACACAGTGAGGCAGAAACACCCACAGATGTAGCCCCAGAAATAAATGTAACTCGAATTTGAAGGAGACTCAAAATGTGTCAGGAGACTCTGCATTGGTGTTCACAGCACACCAGTGGATTCTTCCTTTGTTAGACAACAGCACTTACTTCGCCGCAAGCTAGTGCTCTTATCGAAGTCCACAAGACTGGTAGGGAAGTATTTTTCAGATACATGCCATAGATGTAAATGTGCAAGAATTTATCTTGATTCATAGTCATATTTACTTCGGTTAATGCTTTGTCATATTGGACATATTTTAACATTTACTGTTTCGTTAAATATCATATTTAATATTTACAGGTAGTTCTTATGCATATGTGTAAATATATATGTACTCTTTACATATCCATATAGAGATGAGAGCAGCACATTCCTAAGCATGGCTTAATTAAGTCATATCATATTAGAGTTTCAATGTTATATAACATTTTTGAGACTGGAAAAAAATTGTCACTTCAGTCATGCTATTTAATCCTCTTGTAATTTCAGATTGGTATTAATCTCATTATGATTTTGTTATATTGTACATCAGTTTTGTAAAATTGAGAGCAGCTTTATACAATTAATCTCTCCATTAAAAAGTAATTACTATTTGTTATATGCCTCAAAAACAATTAATATAATGGCTTTGTATTTCTAATGTTAATTAAAAAGTGCTTCCAATTATAATTTGAAATTAGGAAGTTGGGAGCATCTAGAAATAATATGGGTATCTTATATAGTAATGGAAGTTTGAAAAATTTACAAAGTATTTCATTTATTATCTCATTTTACTCTTGAACCTGAATATAATAAATCACTGATAAAGCTTTGAGAGGTTAAAGGATCTGTTCAAGGTCAGAGCTACTTTAAGTCATATGATAAATCTAATCCTCTTGTAAGACGGTACACCTAAATAGAATAGTTGAATGAACTATCAAGCTCATTGCCCATGTGAGTCTGAAACGCCAACAGCTGCCTCTAAAATGATAAAGTATTAGGGTTGTAGTAATTATCTTGTATGCACATATCAAGTATATGATATAAATATGATTTTTAGAGTCAGAATTTTTAAAGGAGGATTGAAACAGCATACTCCATCCTCCTAAATCTTTAATTTAGCTCATGTAGTTGGAGGAAATAATTATTTTTATCACAATAAAAAGTGATTTTTTATGAATAAAAAGGTAACATTTTAATAACATTTTAAAGATAAAATGCAAAGTGAAAAAAAATATTTCAGGCAGGCTACTTTATGTTACACTCCCAGAGACCCTATTATTTTTACAGGAAATTGTTAATAAAAAGCAACATTAAGTATAGACAAAAATGTAAATAAATAGGTAATATGTGTATACAGGCACAAAAATAGCTAAGGTATTCTATGATACATTTCCTATAAAAGCTTTTCTGTTTGTTTAAATTTCAGAGAATCAGTTTGTGGGCACTACGAACAAAAAATGGATGAATCCTGGTTTATAGTTTTAGCTTTGCACTCAACACTTAATTTCTCTTGATACACATTTTCTCATCTCTCAACTAGTTTCTTCTAGTTATGCAAACACAAAGATTCATTCATTCATTTATTCCGGCTATTTATTGGGGTCTTGCTTTATGACAAGTTCTGAGATGAGTGCAGAAAAATATGTGAAAAGTACAGAACTCGCCCCTGTTTTCAAAGACATTACAATCCAGTAGGGAAGACAGATATTAAACAAGACTTAGAATAACCGCCACATAATTACAGCTAAGAGATGTGCTGATGCAGCATGCTGCCATGGAAGTTTGACAAGGGTATCTAACTTATGCGGGTAAGGTGGGGGTTAAGGAAAGAGTCCCTTAGAAAGTGACTTTCCCAAAGATACGTGTAAGGAGTAAACCTTCCAGGGAAAAGTGTCATATAGAACAAATCTCTGACGGAAGGAAAAAATTGATCTGCTTTAGGAACCAGAAAAAGGATGACAGGAAGAGAGCCTGAACGTATGTGAACAAAGATAAGGAGAGAGAGAGAGACCTGCAGCACAGAAAATCCAAGGTCTTCTAAGAACCATGTAAACCATTTTAAAAATAAATCCTAAAACCAGTAAGAAATCATTTGAAGCAGGAAAGTTACATGAATAGATAGGCATTTAGACAAATTTTACCCTCGTTCATATAGGTAAAAGCAATATATGGGTGAACAGGAATGTTTGGAAAAGAAGTGATAGGAATAGAAAAAGGAAACAGTAAGTCCCAAACACATTGTACATGTAAACTAGCCCTACTTATGTAACAGATTAGGTTCAGTAGGTGCTGATGAATTTTGAGTGTCTTTTCTGGGCAGTTGGGCCATTCTTGGCATGGTTTCTGAGGATGAAGAATTTTGGATTTGGAGAATGAAAATTAACATAAGATCAGTTTGATATTCATTAGGATTTCAATGTCAATTAGTAGTTAGAGATGTGAGACTGGAGATGAAAAGATTCACAGTTTGGAAAAATGTATGACAATGTTGTCACCTTCACCAGGGGAGTGGTATTTGAAGCCTGCGTAAGGTTAAAACCAAACACTGAGTGAGGCCGATGAAAAGATTGATGTCTGTGATACTCATAGATGTTTCCTTGGTATCTAGAAGGGTGACTGGCACCGCATAGATGTTCAAGGACTGCTTCTGGAGTGACTAAAGTGCGGTGGGTTAAGAACTGACCCCTAAAAAACCATAACATACAGGAGGAGGAAACCACACCGCCACCCCTCCAATGAGACTGATGTAGTATTCCTGGAATAACACAAGATTGTAGTATCTTGAAAGTTAACAGAGTCATATTTCTAGAAGAAAAGATATAAATCCCAGTTGACACTTCAAATGCTGCTGAGAAGTCAATACAACTTAATCAAAAGAGATGTGAAGTGCCCTTATTACATCCAGCTTTGATGAAGTAATGGGGAGAGAAATTAAGGAGGAATAGGCTGAGGATTGGGTGTAAGGTTAGGATGTGGACACTCCACATTTATTTAGTGCTTTCAAGAAGCTTTGACATGAAGATGAGCAAAGAAAAAAATTACAGTCATTGTTATAAGGACTTTTATGAAAAAAATAGAGTGTGTGTCACTGCTAGTAAACAGATAATGCATTCAAGAAGTCAGACAGATGTACAAAGATATCTGAGAAGGTAGGAGGTAGAACCCTCACCCTCTAAACTGTGCAGCTGATTCAAAGCCAGAGCAGCTCACTGGAAATAGGGAAATAATGAAATATTTATATTATCTACAAAAATATCACTAAGTACTGTCTAATTTAGTATAACTAAATCCACTGACTGGTCAGGCCTCTTGGAAAGCCATGTCAAAGATATACCCTAATAGTTCAATAATTGTTTGATCTAACTCTAGGAGGTTTCTTGGAGCAAATCAAGTTGGTGATGGATGCTGGTAAATTTGGGACCCTTCCATCCAAAATATTCTGCAGGGCTAAAATCATATATTGGCAAAATAAAGAAAAATTTTCTTTATGCACTTTAATCATAATCACTCTCATTATATATGATTTCTTATTCCATCTTAAATAAACATGCTAAATTCAAATTCATATCTGACATAAATTATCTATAATAAAATAGCAGATCTTATGTTTTTATTTAATTTGAGAAGATATGGAGTTTAAAAGTTCATTTAGCTTGGTTTTGTTTTTCTTTTGGTTGTTTTTTTCTGTTTGTTTTGTTTATATAGATTGCATTGTAGACTGTCCAAATGAAATGTATAGACAAATTTAAAAAAAATAATTTATATGCAGTCAGATATATTTATCTTTTTGTAAGCAATCGGTTAATCTAGAGTACATTTATTTGCTGGGCTGAAGAACTATTTTTTTTTGAAAATATGTTCATCTTGCCTTCATATATTCTATTGATAACATTGGCTTTCATATATGTATCTTAGTGGATGCTACATTTCTTTCTAGTACATGATTCTGATTTAAAAAGTATTTAGTGATTAATAATGTTTTCTCATTTTTACTACTAAAATGTGTTTTTATTTTGAAAGATATGTTTCTTGACATATTAATATATATAAAAATGATTATAAAACTATATATTAAACTAGAGGCCAGTAAAATGGCTTTTATTGATCTGTTCTGTAATTTTAATTATTAAAAATAATGCTAACTTGGTCACTTGAATATACTCTGTTTTAAAAAGTCCTTGGAAATAAATTTACTTTGAAATAATTTTCATCATTTCTTTTGACCTACACAATGTTTAATAGTATTTGTTATAAGTAAAGAGAAGCCTTAGTATCTTTTAGTTATCACTTACTTTATCTTGTTACTGTAAATTGGATATGTCTAATTTTAACATTGACTATCAATATAATTTGATGACAAATAATTTTATTCATACATTCTTAAGACCCAGTGATGAGATGATTCTAGTTTGTGAAATCAGATGTGTAATATTTCTATGACAATTCTTCACATTTAACTAATTTAACAAATTATATAAATCACCACCAATATATAAATTGCTAAAATTTTTCAGTCATTGGCTTTTTTAT